TATTGAATATGATTGAACTGAACCTGAACCTGAACTTGACCAAAGTTCGGTTTTAGTTCGGTTCATAGGAACACTATGGACTGTTTACTAGTCCTATAGGTGTATAATACTGAGGGTATAAGGGTGTCACATTCTCAATCTTGTTTGATCAATTTCGCCAAGGACTCGCATAAGGTACGGTTGTATCTTTCTACCAACCCGTTGGTCTGTGGGTGGTATAGCGTTGATAGCAAGTGTTTTATTTCAAAATTCCTTACTAAAAACCAAATTACTTCATTGTTAAAATGCAGGCCTCTATCGGATATCAAGTATGATAGACATCCGTGTCTACAAACAATTTCATCAAAGATAAATCGTGCAGTTTGTTGAGCATCAGCAGCAGATACTGCTTTTGCCTCTGGCCATTTGGTCATATAATCAACTGCCATGATTATATACTTATTTCCTTTTGTAGTTAGTTCCAAAGGTCCTACGAAATCAATGCCAATTTTGTGGAATGGCGCTTCGACAGGTATGGGTTGCAAGGGGCCGCAAATTTAATATTTTCTGCATTTTTGGCATACATCACAGGTTTTGATGTATTCTTTTACTGAATCGTACATCTGAGGCCAGTAATATCGACTCTTTATCTTCTCAAAGGTCTTTTCTGTTCCCAGATGAGCTCCTAAAGGATGCGTGTAGGTAATGTATAAAACTGCTTCCACTTCATGTTGCTGTATCACCCTTAATAGCTGATTTCTTGTCTATTTTCTACGATCTTTCTTATACAACAAGTGGTTTTGTAGAATAAAGAATTTGCTTTGAGATTACAATTGTTTTTTCTGCTGTCTGTTAAATTAAGGCGGGTATTGTGCTGTCTCCAAGTATTGTTTGATTTGTTGGTACTTGATTGGTTCCATTTTTTTTTTTAAAAAAAAATATTATAAATAATGTTGATTGTTTATTTGTATTGTATTTTGATGTTTTACTTCTTTCTTATAATTTTCAGGAAGTTGTGATGATGGTTGCAAGGACCGACTTGCAAAGTTTTTCATCTTTTGTGGACAGAATAGGTGAGAGGTTGGTTGTACCTCAAAGGTACTTAACTGGATTGGTGGTCTTCCAAATGGAGTTACTAAGATAAGTATTAGAGAAGTTGTTAAATTCTCTATAATAATGTTCTGAGGGTCTTTCTAATAACTCTAACCACCAAGGTAAATTGTTTAGGTCTGTTGGAAATGGAATTGTGTTTCCCCCATTTTCATCAGTAAAGTCTAGCAATAAGTTTTCGCTAATGCTGTCATTTTCCCATAATTCTATTGGGGAATTGTCAATAAGATTAAAAGTGTTCTAGATAAAGTTGCTCACGGATTCATCATCACTCCACGTATAGTCATTCTTGTAGTAATAATCTACTAATTTTTCATCATCCAAAGTCGCCCAGTAATATTTGGAAATTTCATCAATAGGGTGTTGTTTTAAAGTGATCCATAGTTTTAAGTCACTATGGCACTTGCTGCACTCATCTGATAGTTAGTATAACTTGTCACCACACCAACATTGGGCTGTTGGTCCTTTCCAGTCCCTTGTTAGGTGTTTTCCTTTAGTTTTTTGCTTTAATCGATTACTAATGTGCTCGATGTAGTACCACGTACAGTGCTGGTGATCATAATAGACTCCATTTGAAGTAAACTCTACATTCTCATAAGGGTGAAGATACTTTGTTAAACCTTTAGGCAAGTTGTAACTTAGAGTTTTCTTTATTATTTCCTTTCGGCTTGCTTTAATTGGTCTTTTATTAATCCGCTTCAACATTACAGGTGTTTCTAATTCTTGCGAGGAGGCTTTGCTTTCATCATCAGTGGGTATGAATCAATTTCCCACAAATTTCACTGTGATTTCACTTTTCACAGATTTATCGTCTTCTATATTTAACATGTACACTTCTCATCTTTCTTCCTTTTCATCAGTGTACATTCTTGACAGAGCATCGGCGTTGCTATGTTTTCGGCCAGGGCGGTGTATAATTGTGAAATTATACGGCTCTAATCTCATAATCCATCTGGCACACTTTCCTTTAAGTTCGGAAGTTCTTAACCATTGCAGGGCTGAGTGGTCAGTGATAAGGTAAAAGGGTTTAGCACCCAAATATTGATGAAAATGTTTGACTGCCCAAATTACAGCCAAACATTCTAATTCAGGTATTGAATAATTCTTTTCTATTTTAGATACACTTCTACTAGCATAGGCAACAGCATACTCCTTGCTGTTTTCGTCAAATTGGGCCAGTACAGCACCTAACCCAGAGGTGGTGGATGCATCCGTATATAGGTAAAATGGCTTACCATAGTCAGGATACCTTAGGATCGGGGCTGTTATCTGATGATTTTTTAGGGTTTAGAAGGCTTCCTCTTGACTTTTCGTCCATATATAGGGTTCATCCTTGTTTAACAATTTGTTTAAGAGTTTTGCCATTTTTGAAAACCCTTTGATAAATTTCTGATAATATGACACAATGCCTAAAAATGATTGTATTTGTCTTATATTAGTAGGTGTGGGAAATTTTTTATTTTATCCAGTTTTTTCTTGTTCAGATAAATCCCTTGGTTACTAACTATATAACCTAAAAATTTGATTTTGTTTAGGAAAAATGAACATTTTTTCAGGTTGCATTTTAGGTTATCCTTTCTGATTTTCGCAAAGACTTGCTATAGATGTTCTATATGTTCTTGGAATGTCTTTGAGTAAATTACTATGTCGTCTAGATACACGACAACAAATTTGTTAATAAATGGGTCGAGAATATCGTTCATTAACCTCTGAAAGGTCGAGGGTGCATTATATAAACCAAATGGTATTACATTGAACACGTAAGTGCCAAATTTGGTTATAAAGGCTGTCTTCTTCTTGTCCTCTTCTCTAACGGCTACCTGCCAGTATCCACTGGCTAAGTCCAAGCTGGTAAACCACTTGGCTCCTTCGAATTCCGATAGGACTTCATTTACTTTAGATAAAGGATAAATATCTTTCTCTGTTACCATGTTCAATTTCCGGTAGTCTATATATATTCTTTTCTTGCTATTTTTCTTTGGCACTAGGACTACCGGGGACGTCCAGGGGCTCTTGATCGGAAATATGATGCCTTGTTTTTCCATGGCAAGAATTTCATTCTTCAGAAATTCTTGTTCATCTCAGGCTACAGTATATGGGTTTGCTTGATAGGCCTTGCGCTGCCTATCTTGTAGCATACTAGATTGGTCTGTCTAGACCAACTGTTTGCCCATTCTTACTAATTTTCTCTGCGAAGACTTTCGCATTCTTTATTAGCAAGTCTTCAGCTTGCTGTAGTTGTCTTGGGTTGAGGTTTGGGTTTATCTCAAATGCCCTTGTATCCTTTTTTTTTTCTTCTTGTATTGCTGTTTCTGTCAAATAAACTGCCAGATTTCCTCTGTTCATGGATTATAATACAGGTCTTCTTCTTCTTCAAAGGATAGATCACTATAAAAGGCTTGATGAACTTCATCATCTTGTTCTAGTTCATCTATCTAGTTTTCTTCGTTGGTAAATTCTTCTAGCTCTTGCTGATAGCTGTCGCCACTTATATGAGTTGCATTTACTGTGACTTGTTTACCTAAGTATCTAACAATTAGGGTGTTGTTGTCAAAATTGAGCTTGGCATGTGACTTATCAAACCAGTTAGTGCCTAATAACAAGGTTTCTTCCTGTGAGTCTATAACCTGGAGGTCTATTGGTATAATCAAGTCCTGTAGGACTATTTTCACTTCACTCACAATACCCAAAGCCTTTGTCTAGTTTCCATTTGCAGTTATTACAACAGTTTTTGAGGGCTTGTCAATTTCCAAACCTAATTTGTCTATAAGTTTCCTAGTAATGATACTTACCGCAGCACCAGAGTCTAGGATGGCCACCACAGGGTTCTTTTTAATACGGATATGACATTGCATAGCAATAGTTTTGCGATTACTTTCTGCTTTTATAAGGTTGGCCTCAGTATTTGGAGCCTTTTTCTGCCTAAGTATCCTTGCCAAGTTTTGTTTTTGGTTAGGATATTGCAATAGTTGTCCTAATGTTGCCCTGACAGACATAGACAATAAGTTTTCCGCTATATTATAGGGCTTGAGTTTGTCTACCTCAGAAGGTATTCTCTTCTTGATAATCTTTTTTACTAGAGTATTTTTGACTTCTATAGGGTCTTCTATGTCTTGCACCGGGTCCATAGGTGCTTTAATTGGCAAACTCTGTTCTTTTTGAGCTTTTGCTTGTTTTTGTTTTTCTTTTTGTTCCTTTCTATTGGTATTATAAGGTTGGGACTGATGTATATAAAGCTCTTCTACATCATCTTTCTCAGCCAGTTCTATCAGATTAATGTTTTTGCTATTACTATCATTATTAGGTTTTTTAAGGATCTGATAGTATGTCTTCTTCGGTTTTTCGGACATACACTTGTTTGCGAAGTGTCCAACTTCATCGCACCTAAAGCAAGTGATACTTTTTTTCTTTTCCTGAGAAGATGATGATTGTTTAAATGTATCCTTTTTTCCACTTGGGCTAACAAGGCCGAAGCGATGGTAGCATAGTTGAGGTTCATCTGCTCCATCTGTTTTGTTAACTGTTCGATTTGTTTTTTGTAGTTCTAAAACCCAGAAGGTTGGCTTAGGTTCGCATTGTAGGCGAAGTCTGTCCCGTGCTCATGATGCCTAGCTAACTCTAGAGTTGCCTGGACTGTGGTGGGCTTATGCATCAAAATTATCTGACCTTAAGCCCTTTTTGAAGTAGTAGAATTGATCGTCATTCGACAAAGCAGTATCAATTTCTACTCTATCTACCATTTTTCTAAAATGACCATGGTAGACATCTACCGATTCTTCTGGCAACTGTTTTAAGGCAGTTATTTCTTGTCTCCAAGCATTTTTCCAACATTGGTTGCAAAAATATTTTTTGAATGCTTTCTTTGTAGCATCCCAATCCACTGCCAGGTTATTGGTTGGCTTGTTGTCATTATAATATGTTAGCTGCCAATCATCTGCAGCATCTTTCATAAAGACTGACAAGATTTGCCTCATTCTTTTTTCGCTCCAATTGTTGGCTGCGGCCGCCTTTTCGAAGTTTTTCATCCACGTTAGGGGGTCTTGGGTACCATCTCCCTTAGTGTTCCTATGAACCGAACTGAAACCGAACTTTGGTCAAGTTCAGGTTCAGGTTCAGGTTCAGTTCAATCATGTTCAATATTGAACCTTCAAGTGAGGTTCATGTTCAGTTCAGTTCAGTAT